TGTGGGACTTTGCAGGGCAGCACTTGTACTATGCTAGCCATCCTATCTTCCTATCACAGCGGGCACTATACATATTGGTGCACAATCTCAGCAAGCCTTTGGATGCCCCAGCTGAGCCCTGCATGAGACAAGGGAGAAATGATGTGAAATTGGAAAACCCTAACAATGAAACAAACATGGAAAATTTGCTGTCATGGTTGGCTACAGTACATAGGGTTGCCCTGGCAACTGATGACACAGATGATGATGCCCAACAAAAGCTGCCCTACCTCCGCCCCCCAGTGTTCATTGTTGGCACATGCTGACAAACCAGTCAAAGACATAGCAACAATAAAGAAACAAATTAAGGAGAGAATTTGTGGTATGGAATATGAGAGGCATGTGGTCAGGCCTCTATTCTGCATTGACAACACAAAATTACAGCGACTAAACTTGATTAAGAAATTGATCCAGAAGAGTCGAAAGCGGAGAAAAAAGCATGAAACAGGTAAGATGTTTGCCTTTATGTTGTATCCTTTGTTCTATGTTTCTAAAGTAATTGATGACTGGATATAATTGACCCAAGTGTGAGGTGACGATAGCTGGATATTGAGAAAAAGTTACAAACTTTGCAAGTCTGCTCCACACACTTTTTTMGATGTGTGGGATCAAAGTATGCGATCCTGAGTCCATCTTACTTGCTTGGGTAGCCAATCAGAACACATGATTTTCTTCACTGGGTGCTGCACACAAACTTGTCTGACGTTCATCAGTTTTCAAAACACTTTACAGTTAATTTTGGTTGGCAAGCATTCATATTATCTGACTCACATTCAGTGGTTGTGTTGTATTTCAGTAAAATTTAAAAGACTGGTAGAATGAGTTAAGGCTTGTAATGAAAGCAAGAAAGCAAGTTATGTTTTTTTTCTTTGTTTTTATTAGCTGCACTCTTCTTAGTTTAAGGCGGCACCATACTGGGTCCTATACTTTTTTGCTGACAGATCCATTAATTTCAGAGTTTGGAGTTAGGAACAGAGGCTTAA